CCTGTGTTCAGATCCCAACACCCATATCAGGTGGCTCACAACCACTCCAGCCAGCTCTAGGGAATCTGGACTACCGGGGCACCTGCACACATGTGACACACACACACACACACACACACACACACACACACACACACACACACACACACACACACACACACAAATAAAAATGGTTTTTGAAACTGTGATTGAAGGAACCGCAGTGTGATTTCTCTTGAGGCTCAGAAAAATATATTTAGAGATATTAGTACCCTCAGAAATTTAAACACAAAAATATTACTTCAACAAACTTGACTCAGATGTGATTGTTTTTTCAGAGTCATTGGATAAAGACAAGGAAGAAGTATGGAGGCTGAGGAGTGAGCTAGATGGCAGAGCATGTGGACACTAGGTTCAGTCTCAACTCCTCTCATCTGCTCTCCTGTCTACCTTATCTAATCTGGGTTAGGAGGCTGCCAGAACAGCAAACAGACAGCTAGCCCCACGGAGCTAACTGACTAGATAGCAGAACAAAGATGAGGACCCACCTACTAATCTTTTCAACAGATGTTCCAGGCCCAGAAATAATAGTAATGCTCTTAAAACGCAGCCAGTCTGTTTTTAGTAGTACAATAAAATTAAAAAGCACTCCAGAATATTTTTAGTGGGATGATAAATGAGCACATTTCTAGAAAGTCTTTAGCAATGTGTATCAGAAATTTCATTTTTGAAGCTATTTATTAAAAAGTAGACCAATATAAACAAATATTTTATATCAATACAAACTTCAGCATTAACAATACCAAAAATATACTGTGTACTAAGGTAACATTTCAATAACAGATTATAGAGCTATAAAATGTTTCCACAGATTTTTTTCAAAGAAATAAGAAAATGCTCAAAGGCATAGTGTAAAATGAAAAATATAAACGAAGATACAGAATATAATCTGTGGAGTTTTTTTAAATGAATAACATATATACATAGAAAAAGACTGGGAATAACACACCTAAATACCACCATTGGTTTTCCATGGAAAGAAAAAGTACATGAAGATTTTAATATATATATTATACAGTTTATAAATTTTCTAACACCCATTGGTTTTTGTTTATTGTTATTTTGTTTGTTTTTTATATTTATTTATGGGTTGTCCCACACATCCCATGGTGTGCCCATGGAAATCAAGGGACATCTTTCAAGAGTTAGTTGTCTCCTACGATAGGAGTCCTGGGGATTGATTCTAGGTGGTCAGATTTGGTAGACAGCACCTTTACCCACTGAACCATCTCAATGGCCCAGAGGGTTTTGTTTTGCAAGTTTTTGGTTTTGTTTTGTTTTCTGAGATGGAGTTTCCACTTTGTACCTACTTCCAGCTGTCCTAGAACTCACCATGGTAGCCCAGGCTGGCTGGCTTTAAACTCAGAATCCTGCCACCGCTCCCAAATCCTGAGATTATAAGCATGCACTACACTACCAGGCTCATTTACATACTGGTTTGATAGTCATTTAATGTTTTTGTAAATTACTTTTAGTTTTTAAAGATTTAGTTAATTTTACGTGTATGAGTGTCTGCTACACATTATATGTGTACTACAGGGGTGCAGATCATTTTTTTATTTGCGATAGAATCTCACTGTATATCTCAAGCTGGCCTTATAGTCACAATCCTCTTGCCTCAGCAGCATCCCAAGTACTGGGATTACAGGCCAATGGCACCATGCCTAGCTCCGTGATAGTAATTTTACTTATGACTGTGACTGTTATGTATGTATCTGCATATCGTGCATGAGTGTGGTAAATGGGGACCAGACAGGACCTCACGAATGCTAGACAAACATTCTGTCACCAAGCTAAACCCCCAGTACTTTGTCATCTTAAAATGGCTTAAAAATGAAAAGCATCCCTGCTCTTTTTAAAAATTCTGTATTTTTAAGAATACAACTATCCTTATTTTGAGAGGAGCTGGGTTTATTTTGTAAATGTCTCATCTTTTCAGGTACATGAACTTTTTAAAGACAGGAATAATAAAAAAAAATCTATGATTTTCTTAGTTAATTGCTTGGTCAGTTGTCACCACAGGGATGTTCCCCACATGATACTAAATGTTGAAAAGATCATATTTTTAAAGCAAGTTTTATCTTCCTCACAAGAGAAAACATCTTACAACTTGTGTCCCTGAATAAAACAATTTACCACAGGAGGCAGAGGTAAGTGGATCTCTTTGAGTTCAAGGTTACCCTAGTCTATATAGTAAATTCCAGGCCAGCCAGAGCTACAAAGCGAGACTATGTCTCAAAACAAACAAAAGTATACTATAGTATAAGGTGGGTTTTTTTTTGGGGGGGGGGGCGGGAAGAGGTTTTGTTTGGTTTGGTTTGACAAAGTTTCTCTGTGTTGTTTTGATGCCTGTCCTGGAACTTGCTCTGTAGAGCAGGCTGGCCTCAAACTCACAGAGATCCACCCGCCTCTGCCTCCCAAGTGCTGTAATTAAAGGCGTGCACCACCACCGCCCAGCCGAGTATAAGGTTTGGGGGTAGGGGGAAGGTCTGGAAATGTGGGGATGGGAATTCTGGTCTGGTTTTGTTTTTTATGATTTATTTTTATTATTTTTTAATGAGATGTATATGTATTGGTGTACAATTATGTGCATGTGACTGCAGGGGAGGCCTGAAGAGGGCATATGTCCCAGAGTTGGAATTACAGGCAGTTGTGAGTAACCTGACTCTGGTGCTGAGAACCAATCTAGGGTCCTCTACAGAGCAGAATATGGTCTTAACCACTGTGCCACCTTTCCAGCCCCAAGCAAATGGGAATTTTAATTGTGGACTTGCCAAACCTTTCTAACCTTCAACAAATCACTTGACCGTCAGCTTCCTTATCTGAAACACAAAGGAGTTCACTCTATATGACAGATCAGGTACACTTCAGTTCTTCCTAGAGAAAGAACTGTGTATTTGTGTCTAATACAAATTGAATAGTTTCTTTAAAGAACCAGTCAATATTAGTTTTAGTTTTAGTTTTAGTTTTAGTTTTAGTTTTAGTTTTAGTTTTAGTTTTAGTTAGAGAGGGTCATTCAAATAAACACTGTAGCTAG